ATTAATCATTTGGTTTGAGAGAATTACACGTTTGGAGCTAATTCGGTTTGGTTATGTTATTCCCTAGAGAGTTGAGGCTGAGGTGTAACGAAAAAATCATGCTTATTCTCTAAATTCAGATAACAGCTTTTCAGACGTTTTACAAAAAATAAAAACACGAAAGTTTTTTAACAAGTTACTTTACTTAAAGAAATTTACAGAGGGGCAATAATGTTTACGGCAATTTTTTACGGAAATGTATTGTGTAATTTAGCATAACAACTTTTCGGGGTTCAACAGAAAGGAAGAAGTACCCTTAAAATTTCGCTCATTTGATTCGATTTTAAGATATTTCATGCGCTAAATGCGATGTGAGCAACCATCAATTTACGTGATCTCCATGCGCTTACGAATGTTTAAAAAAGTAATTCGTTCTATAAAAAAATCCCCTCACTCGTGTAAAGAATTGTCCTTGGCCTTGATTTATAATATATATATTTTTATTCTGACTGTTTAACATTATACGAAATACTTAACAAATATAAATATGTTTAATTTGGTTCTACTGTCACGTTGTTTACGAGGAATCTAGGTTTAAAGTTTGATTTTAGGATCATTTAATTCAGCGTGTTCTGTACGGTATAAGATAGATGACATTGCTCCTTTAAGTAAAAGAAAATATTTCCAGCTGATCAAAAAATATCTAGCTCATCTATTTCACAGAATGGTGTAAAGAAAAAGAACTTAAAGCTTGTGTATAGAGTTGCAAGTTTTCATGTGATTTTTTTTCAGAGTAAGAGAAATATAAATCAGTTTTAGAGCCAAGAAGCAAGAATCTGTGAAATACATTTCGATAGCCACCGTTAAGACACCCAATTGATATGAACGTTTTAGACATGATGATGGTCGAAATTGGAAACTTGAGAGACGAAGGTTAAAGTTGATATTTCTCGATGTCACAGTTATCCTAATGTTCAAAGTTGAAATAGCCGGGTAAGACTTAGTTAAAATTAAGTTACTCTTGAGGATTCAAGATCTATTACTTTAACAGAATGACAGTATGTGGTTATATGTTCTTACTGTACCATCAGCTTAGAAGTCAAAATATATGATAAAACAGCTTCATAGGGCATATTTTGGTGGCTATGTGAATTCCCAATAAAACAATTTCATGGAATCTCGTTAAAGCTGGAATTTTCTCATATTTCCTATCTGAAAGCTATTTATTTAGTTACTTATTAAGCTTGAAGCTACACAATAGGCTACCTGTGCGGTGCCTAGCGCGAGTATCGAAACTTGATTTTTAGCGTTAAAAGCCCTCAGAATTACCCCTGAACCACCGCAGGACCGTAAAGAAAGATTATTCTAAAAACGTCTTCCAACACAACCGATGTCAAGGCAATAATACATAAGCACCTGTAGGGAAGGGAATGTTCGTACAATATATTACGAAAGACGTACATAAATGTGAACAAGTGTTAGTGTTCAGAGGTTTATCGTTTCATATCAATACATAATTAATAGGGTTGAGCTGTAGAAAGCTGCTTCGTATAATGCATGGCTTTCGAGCGACGCAGTGCTATTAATTCAAATAAATAGCTTCAGATGAGCAACTTGACAACAGGGACACTAAAAGCAAAAGTTATACGCTACACTTACACTGAATTTGAAGGAATTTACTCGCCGTGGAATAGCTATATTAGAGAAGCTTGTTTATCTGACAAATTCGTAACAAACGGATTTTTTTTTTTGCTATTGCAGAATGAAAATGCATGTGAATACAGTTTAAAAGAAGTTTGCCAAAGAAACGTGACAAAGTTTAAATAAAACAGTGAGATTGCTAATTAAAGCTTTTAAGGAGTAACATCGTTAGAAAATTTGATACGAGTCTCGTGAAATTACGCTGGAAGAAACCAATCACCAAGTGATGTCTTAAAACTGTAAGCCTCGAATTTTACTTCTTGGGAGAAAGAAGTATACACTCAAATAAAAAAAAGTGTAATTAAGAAATGACTCCAACAAACACACCCTGTTGCTAACAGGTTGAGAATGTACACTCTCAAAGGTATAAATTTAGATCAGGGACATACTCCTAATATGAATGAAAAGATGTGAAATTATATACAGAATAGAAAGTCATGTAAATGGTAAGTGAAATATTAAAAAAGAACTGATAACAGAATTATTTACATTAAGATAATATTATGAGTACTACAAATTTTATCATAATTCTTTTAGAAAATGCTAAATCTTCAAAATTTATACATTGGTACTTCTTAATAATATTACTATTTAGTATTTAATAATTTTTTTCTGGGTGTGAAATCACATTTTCTGAAGAAGGGTGTAAATATACACATCTTTGGGTGTAGCTTCTTTCTATAAAAGTGTGAAATAACACCTTTTCTGGTTCAGGGTGTACGTTTTCTTACAAGTAATGAGAGGACAAGTCGTCCTTTAGGCTCTACCTTCACAGTTTACATCACATTGACCTACTAATGTAGTGGCGGGAAAAGCACTCTTCACGTGGCGTTTACCCACGAATGTGTTTAATTTAACCCTTACTAACCTACCATACCACTACCCGGATCGAACTGTGTTTAACCCTTACTAACTTACCATACCGTTACCAGCACTACCCGAATCGGAATGTGTTTAATCCTTAGTGCCTACCATACCACTACCCTAATCAGAATGTGTTTAACCCTTAGTTTTTATCATACCACTACCCGAATCAGAGTGTTTAACTCTTAGTGCCTATCATACTATTACCCGGATCGGAATGTATTTAACCTTCAGTGTTTACCATACCACTACACGGACTGGAATGTATTTAACCCCTACTAGCCAACAATACCACTATCCGAATAGGAATGTGTGTTTAACCCTTAGTGCTTACCATACCACTACACTGATTGGAATGTGTTTAACCCTTAGTGCTTACCATACCACTACACTGATTGGCATGTGTTTAACCCTTAGTGCTTACCATACCACTACACTGATTGGAATGTGTTTAACCCTTAGTGCTTACCATACCACTACACTGATTGGAATGTGTTTAACCCTTAGTGCTTACCATACCACTACCCGGATATGAATCGCCAATTTATCCGCATATTGTTTAAGCAATACAGTACTGTGTTAGAAAAACTTAAATAACTCCCAAGATCTGACGTACGAGTTAATTGCATATTGTTCTGACTTTTTCTCCCGTTAATCACTGACTAAAATCTGAACTCTTTCTTAGATGTATTTATAGCTTGTTATGGGTATAAACGTAAAAACATTTCCAGACATATACATTTATCCATTGAAATTCAATTAACCCATTCACTGCGGATGCCATATATACGGGTCGGACTTTTTTTCTTTCGTACACTGCGTTGACATCGTGAGGGGGCACTGACGAGAAACGACAAAAAATGATTCATCATTATTCAGTAAAATTGCTTGGGTGTATGAAGAATGCCTCAACACTCATAAATACTTCTTACCAGTTCACGCGGGACATTTAAAAATGAAATCCCATATACGGAACAGCCGCAGAGTACGGAAGAAAAAATCCCGACCCGTATAAGTGACAGACGCAGTGAATGAGTTAAAGGAGACAGGCGTACTAAAGTCCATTCGTCATATATTCTTACTAACAGAGTACGGAAGAAAAAATCCCGACTCGTATAAGTGACAGACGCAGTGAATGAGTTAAAGGAGACAGGCGTACTAAAGTCCATTCGTCATATATTTTTACTAATATTGTTGAGTATATGAAAAATACTTGTATACGAAAACCTGAGTTTACGTTTGGACTCGGCCCTGCATGGCCAGGTGGTTAGAGCGTTTTACTCGCAATCTGAGGGTCGCGGGTTCGAATCTCCGTCTCACTAAACATGTTCGCCCTTTCAGTCAATCACACTATTCTTCGGTAAAAGAGTAGTCCAAGAGTTGGCGGTGGGTGGTAATGACTAGCTGCCTTCCCTCTAGTCTTTCACTGTTAAATTAGGACCTCCTAGCACAGATAGCCCTCGCGCGAAATTTAAAACAAACCAAACGTTTGGACTCTTCCTTATAATACAAAGTGTGGGCTTCTAAAACACTAATATAACTAAAGTGAAACTTGTGTTAAACAATATTCGCGTATTTTCCCTTACATTATAGAGTGAGCTTCTGAAACACACTCATCTAGCTGGAATGAAACTAGTACTGATGGGTCCGATAGTTGTGAAAGTAAAGTATCAATAAGAAGCAGTTTCATAACACAAAATGCTATTGTACAATTAAACTCATGTTAATTATTTAATAATTTTGTTTACATTTTAGTTCGATGTAACACGAAAAGAAAATATGTTTTTGGGTCTAGGATTTTCAGAGTTTAATGGCAAATAAAAACTAGGATTTTATAATGTTATAGCAAAAGTAGGAGCGAAACATAAGACTAAATGCAACAGTTATTATTTGAAATCCCTGTCAACATAATATAGTAAATTTACAATGCAGGAAGATGTGAATTTGGAAGGTTTACATTCTGCCAATTTTACAAAGGGTCTCTCTATCTACATACATTTATGTACATGAAATTAGTAGGATGCGTATTATATTATAAAATATGAGAGGAAAAAAGATGAAATTGTGGACACACGATATTCAGTAATGTGTGCAAGAGTAAAAACCATAGCATTGCTTAAGTCGTTGCAATATGAGCTGTTTCACAAGTAACATCAGTGTATTTTGAAAAATTTGTAAATTCCAAATTTCCACCACTTTAAGTTAGTTTGTTTTGCCAAGTAAGAAAAGGAGTTGTATTTACAATGATTTACACAAAATTTATTGTGTGCATTTAAAACGTTTGGTGAGTAGAGAGTAGAGAAGAGCAAAACTACATCAGCTGAGTAAATTTCTTAGTAGGTCTTGTAAGTAGAGAAACATTAAGATAGCAAAAGAAGAAACACGGAGATAAAAAACAACAAGAACTAAAGTTAGGGTACAGCCAAATTCAGGTAGCTAATAACATATATATATACCAGCAAGGCCAAGCACTGCAGTGGCAAGGGGAGATGGGCAGCGAAGGACAATCTGCTAGTCTTCTTAAAGAGAGTTTTCGCAAAAAGCATTCTGAAGAAAGTGCCGACTGAAAGCTCCTTTAGAACCCACTGTGGCCTTAGTTTTGAACCGCTTGTTCAGCCTTCTGCTGGGGGGTTTTACTTCAACGGGTCGATAAGTCATCAGGATTGATCGTGTGGCGGTCCTCCTTGAGACCAGTCAAAACATATTCAAGAAATCCTGGATTCCGGAACTGACGTCGCAGATAATTCAAGATTAGTGGCTAATCTAAATCGGTTAGCTATTACTTCGTTCAAGCTGATTTAGCTTGAGAGTTACTACAATTTTCTAGTTACTTACAGATACCGTATATTCTTGTCTACTTGTACTACGTAATACGTATGTCACCGTTAATTCATCCACTGAGACCGACCACGGGCTGCAGTTCCAGTTCTTCTTAAAACTGATGTGGACTGACTTCAGCGCCGATCAGGCTCTCGAAGCTGTTGCCACGTCCATGTGATCGTTGATATCGATTACCACACGGCTATGTCAAATGTCCGTTAACAGGTGGCGTGGTTTCAACAGTTGACTGTACAGGAAGAAAAACAAAAAACTGAAAGATTCGACATTTTGGAATACAAGTATGTAGTGAATTTTTATAATATATGCAATTAACAGACCTCTAATGAGAAAAATAAAACTTATGTTCTGCCGTATATGTGAAATATTGACGGAGAATTTTACACATAAAATGCTCTGTTAAATAGTATTTTCTCAGGACTATAGAATTCAAAGTTTTGTAACATGTCGTCAAACAAGAAACGCCTTAAAGACATAAGAATAGTGATTAATAGAATATTCCGGTTACGTCAGCCATATTAATACACAATTTATAAAGCAGTGCTAACACGTTAGCGTCTAAATAGGAGGGGAGGGTCAAAGGTCCCATCCACTATACAGGGACCATCACTTACTTCGGACTCCATTTTCCTAACTTAAATATAAAATCAAAAGATAAAGTAAAAATTAGAAGGCCTTGTAACCTGGTTATTAAACTTTTTATTTTAACAAACCATAAAATTTCGCTACACTTCTAACTGCTTTGGAAGAGGAGTGGCGGTCTATTACACCACATGCTTACTCACCACTGCTTACTCACAGAGTTCAGGCTGCGACTGACGTTAAAGATTATCTCATTTCCTGTTCGTATGGGATCCCAGCACCAATAGCGAATAACCCATTCTCAATGGTATGTTGACCTAATACTTTAGATAGTATGAAGTATATATCTTTGTTTGGTTGTATGGTGCAAAAATATCGAATACTTCCGGGGTTGATTTAATTCATTCAAATTATTGTAATATCTCATAGTATTGACAGACATTAAGATCGTCTCTTCTGTAACTAATAGGTATTACAAAATTGGTTACTATCATAATCAAAACTGATCTCGGCTAGAGAGTGTTTGGAAACCTCGGGACCTGGGTCCTAAACTTGCTGAATGAATTGCTTTTTGTATGCTAAGTAATATTTCGCCTGCATTTGTTAGATGCTAATGATTCGGAATATTCTCAAATCTTTTTGGTTATTATTATTGCAGTTACTTATCATTAGCGTTATATATTTTGCAGTTGATCCTGCAACTAATTATCTATTATCTTTTCGTGCGATGTTTGATGATTTGAATTACATTGACGTAGTTTTCTGGTACTAATTTTGTAAAGGGGTGTGGGCCGTCGCCTTCCACTATATAAGCCGTAGCACATACTCTGATCGTTTCACGCAAAGGTACTCGTTCTACGTTTGAAATTGAACATCACTTTCGTTTGGCATCGGCTCCACGTATTTTACTACCGAACTTCACGCTCCTTGAGGACAGCATTAAGGTGGTAAACTTTAAACAGATGCTAAACTCGACATTGTTCAACAAGTTCTTCGCAATAACTTGTTACAACAGACAAACAGATAGACAAAAACTCTGCTTTATATAAATATGTGTAGATCATTGGCTTAAAATTTCTTCTTTCAAACACAGACTTAAAGATCAGCTACTTAACATCACTAACTGTGTGTTGTAAATGCATGGCATTTCATCAGACATATGTTTCAATAAATAATGAAAATAAGTAAAAATAAATAAAAATATACGATAGATGCCGTTGGTTAGCATCAATTAGGCGGCAGTAATGTGTAAAATCCTAATTCAGGAAACGTTTTATGTCAAGAGGATTGTTTATCTGATGCACTGTCTGTATGTAAAACTCAATTTTTAACATTCTCAAATGGCATCGGTATTAGACAACTCATGACAATTTACGGTTGATTTATCTAACCAAGAATATATAACATAATCTATGTGTTTGATTCAATGTTTATTTATTACCGGAATTGTTTATTAAACAACTCATGATTAATTCTTGCTAGTTTATGTCACCAAGGTTATCTAACATAATCTGCGTGTTTGATTCGATGTTTATTTATAACCGGAATTGTTTATTAAACAACTCATGATTAATTTTTGCTAGCTTATGTCACCAAAGTTATCTAACATAATCTATGTGTTTGATTCAATGTTTGTTTATAACGAGAACTGATTATTAAACAATTCATTGTTAATGCTGTTAGCTTATCTCACTAAAGTTATCTAATATAATCTATGCGTTTGTTTACAACCGGAACTGAGTATTAAACAACTCATGACAAAACACTGAAATAACTCACATACCACAGTAGTTGTTCCCCGGTGGGACAGCGCTTAACCTACGGATTTACAACGCTAAAATCAGGGGTTTGATTCCCTCGGTGGGCATAGCAGATAGCCCTATGTGGATTTGCTATAAAACACGCACGCACACATTCCAGTAAATGTTGAGTCCGGCGCAAACTTCGGTTACTTAATGACAAAATATCAAAATAACTTCACATATTCCATGATTCTGAAGTTTAGAGCGAAAACTGGTTACTTAATTAATGACAGAATAATAAGATAACTTCACATAACTATTGTGTACAGAGCAAACTCTGAGTACTTAATGACAAAACATTGGAATAATTCACGAGAATGGTGGCTTGTTTGCTGTTTATTAATCTGTTTTGTAACTTTTAGCTTTTTTTTTGTTGTTGTTGTTCAATACGTACTTCTGCAAATACATGAGTGCTTAAGTATATTCGCGTTTTGTGTATTGGTAAACTATAGGGATCGCAGGAGTAAAGGACTTCATATGTTTTGTAAGTAATGACCTAATGCATTTTTCTGTATTAACTCTTTATGTCATTTAATTTTACTGAATGTAATATTTGTAATAATATTGAATAATGATTACACTTATGAAAGTTATTTCGCATTGCTAGCTTACCATATGGAGTTAAGACTAACCTAAATCTCCAAAGCCATGATGCATTATTGGGTTTACGGCCTAGAATGTCGACTTATGATTGGCACATCATAATCAGTATAGATTTTAGTTTTCTGGCATATTAATATATAGAATTAATTATTGCTAGTACGTTCGTTTACATGAAACTGACTTCATTAGTTTATGTACCTTCCATCAGTTTGTTTGTTTGAAGTTAAGCACAAAGTAACACAATGGGCTATCTGTGCTCTGCCCACCATGGGTATTAAAACCCGGTTTCTAGTGTTGTCCACAGATATACCGCTGTACCACTGGGGGGGGGGGGCTTCGATAAGAAGTTCTTAACACTTACGAGGGTTGTGATATAATATGCTTACATAGTGTTACAACAAGCACATTTCTAATAACTGATAATATAATAGCTTGACTATCGTGAAACATTAAGATAAAATTTAGCTGTTAGATGATGAGTATTTCTTTAGTTTAAAATAGACCCACTGACGCTAAATCAGCCGATAAAAAGGACCAACAGATGTTTTTGTAACGTACCATGAAATGTGAAAAAAAAAGGAAATTTTCATTTTTATTATCTGTTACACCAGCTTTTTGAGAACTTTTAAATCTGCCTATCTTGCTACAGTAATAAAATGCAACGTGTAGCCTTAAAATTATCTTTTACAAACTTTAGAGCTTCTTTTCGTTCTTTTAGTCCTTTGTAAAAGCAATGCCAATGAATTAAATGAATCAAGAAATAGGCATACAATAGAATATATACTAGTGATGCACCATCAAGGTTGAGTTCTGGTCTGAGCAGAAAGCATTTACACTAAAAACAAAAATACGAAAGAAGCAGTCTGTATGGAGAAATACATTGCAATCCAGCTTTATATATATATTCTGGATTATCGTAGTTGATGACTGGTCAAAGGTGTTTTTTTTATGAGAGATTGAAGAGGCCAGATCTAACGTTCATTAAAAAGGTAAGAAACAATACCAGCGCTATTTTAATGAATTAGCTATGAACCAACTGTGTAATCTCGCTGTTGTAAATTTTTAATTTCTCCAGAGAGCTGCAAGATTTGAATTCAAAGGTATCAAGTAAATTATGTGTAAGAAGAAGTGGAACGATGAAAACACTTTATTGATTGTTAATTGTTTCTCCTGTTCAGGTGTTCTCATTTGTATGTTAATTAGTACATTGTGAGGATTAACGATATAGCTTTTCCCGATTAATAGAGTTCGGAGCTGCTGTTTTATTAAGTAATGGTAAAATAAAATAACATGTTAAGAACATCCCGGAATAATAAGTTAGAGTTGTAACAAAAATATACTTTCACTACAAGGTATTATCGAAATTCCGTGCAACAGTTCAGGTGTGTTTCAGCGTTTGTGTTTTTGCTGATGGATGACTAGTACCATATTTAAAGCTGTTTAGTTCGAATATACTGTTATAGTATCAATTTTCACTGATATGTTAAAATATATTTTGGTTACTTGTACTGTTGACAGTCTTAATGCTAACAATGACGATTGAGATTAAATTTCTTATGACAAAGCTTAGCAGAATAATATTTCAGCTAGAAATACTGGACTTATTAGTTCCATTAGCGAGAAAGAAAACAAACAGTGAGAATTATAATATTCGTGTTTATTAAGTTACACGAGTTTATTAAGTTTATTAAGTTCTGCCGATCAGACAGAAAATTAGGTAAAATTGTTTGACAGTTTTGTAACTAATTATACTGAGTTGTCTGTTTGTACATCAGACAAACACAGATAAGTGATTAGCACATGCTCATTCCTTTCAAGGACATCGTTTCGTTGAAACATAAAATGAATCTCGAAGTTGGCTTCTGCTTATGCAATTCTCAACTTTACTTATACTCCCTGTAAAGTTTATAAAAGCATATTTCATGAAAAGAAATGATTGCTACGTTCTAAAAAAAAAAGGTTGTATTGTAATCGGCACATAAACATAGTGTTATTTCATAACCACAATACAAATTTTGCTCTCCCCAAACACAGACTTGTGTAAACTGGAACACAACTAATTGCTTTAGCGATATTAACACAAAATTGTTTTTTTATTTTGTTTTGTTTTCTAACAACTCAAGTAGTTTTCAATCAAAATTGTGTTGGTTTGTTGTGTTGTAAAGTCACATTTTTCCAGTCCCGGTTTGAACCGTTCACGAGTAGCAAATTGTGGAAACGAATCGCTCTTCATCTCAGAGGG